AAAGGAAAGGCTGGCGGCACTTTTCATTCTTCTGGTTCATCTTGTTTCTAGTGGTTCAGGGTCTTCTACAGCTACGTTTCGTTGAGTTCGGCAGTAATAGTATTTCCATTCTTCCTGTTATTGTCCGCAAAGGGGGTTGGAGTGGTGAGGAAGAGGGAGACGACGAATGCGAGCCCGAAGCTTTGCCGAGTTTTGCCGAAGCGCACGCTGCATTGGCGAAAGTGAAGTCGTTCTTTTATGCGCATAGTATTAGTGAACGTGACGAGGAAAACCTTTTGAACGTGGAAAGTGCTCTGTTTGGTCTAAAACGTAAAGTTTCGACAAACCAGTTGTCCATTAAAGACTTTTTTGGTAAAAAGAAGTAACTTTGAAAGAGAAACATTGTTTTTTTTTAAATTTTTAATGCTTTCCCGCATCTATCGTTTTCCCGCATTCATCGTTTTTATTTCCCACCCCCGCCGAAAACGATGCATCGAGGTTTCACTGTAGTTGGAAAAGAGGAGTCTTCATATATTCCTTTGTTCTACGTGATATACAATGACTCAGATATGTATATATCTAAAGTTAATTGTAGAGTATTAACCAATCAAGCACCTTCTTGCAGGGACAAGTTCCAGTTATTTTATTACAAGTACTCCATGTGTGCTTCTATTTTGACATGGCAACATACAGCTGTTTTCAAATTTCTGTCAAAATTGTTTCTGACACTGGTGGAATTTAAACATGTTCCTTAACATCCCTCCAGTGGTCCTGCACAAAAAGAAGTGTGATGGATTAAGATAAAAGACTGGGAAGCCAATGTAGTTCTGCCCAGTCCACAGTTGTTAGCTGGTAAAGGAACTGCTGAACTCCCAAGTCATAGTGGAGGGAGACACTATCATGTTGAAATCTCAGCCCCATATGAACTGTGCTGTAGAAGTTGTTTCCACAACCATTTCTCCAACATAAACAGGTGGATATGAGCAAATGTGGTCTGATGTGGCATAAAATTAGGGAATGATCCACCACCTAAGAAGTCCATTAAAGAATGGTAACATCTCCATAATGTTAAAAATCTTTCCACATTGACATGGTTGATTGCCCAAGAAGACTTGTTGCATTCAGTCACTGTGAAAGTTTCAACTTTTTGGAATTGATTGAAACATTTTATATTTTTGTAGGATTTTGGCTGTCTCCAAATATACAGGCAGTCAGTACTATGACAGCAATGAAACCACTGAGGAAAAAGAAAGTAACTAAAACTGGAAAACCACCTGGTAAGCTCCCAAGTGTTTTAAAACTGGTCTGAAATATTGTTGTTTGTTGAGAAGATCATTTGAGACAAAACAAAAGTAGCAAGTAATTGTAACCTATTATGTCTGTAGGATTTGATTTGTGTATTTGATAATGAACCTTTGGGTCCCACAAAAATGTGTGATTTTCTTGACTACTGTTAATTTCTCAAGAAGGACTTATTAAAGAGAATGAGTTGTTAAAGGAAATAGTATTTTTTGAAATGTAGGAAATTATAGAAAGAAAGGAACAGGTGTGGAGATGATTAGGAATTTGAAAAATGCAGTTAAATGAAAGGCAGACTGAAAAAGATCGAGAAAAAATACAGTTGTTTTGAAGTATGTTTCAAATTAATGTTTTCTTAATACTCTGTCAAAACCCCACACACATAATGTAAAAATGTTTAAATTTTAAGATCTCAGCTATATCGAAGATCTCCATTAAGTGGGATATTTTGAGAATAGATGTATGTCCAATATCAATATATATATGGTCATTAATTGATGTGGAAACTATCAGTACATTCTTCAATTTTCTCTGTTTACATTTGTAGACATTGACATAATGTAGAATGACGACAAATAGCAATTGGATGAGAACTGTATCACTGTTTGTTGTAGGAGTGGTGAGTTTTCCAATAGATTTTTTTGAACATTGCCAAGCGATGAATGAAGTGGAGTTCGGAGGCAATGACCTACTGCAAATTTACAATACACAGCAGATCAAGCATCGTCTCAATACTACAGGTAATAGTGCTTTGATATAATAATACTCTGCTGTACAGCAGAAATGCTCAGAGCCACACTGTGCAAAAAATGTGCCCTAATTTGATATAAGATAATCTGATAGTGAAAGAAACCACTTTGAAGACCTAGTTGTAGATGAGAGATAATATATCTTTTATCTAATAATGCCACTTAAAATACTGTAGAAGTATGAAGTATTTTAAATAGGGTGTGAGGATGTGTACTAGATTTAAGTGGCTTGGAATAAGGACCAGTAGCAGTCTCTTGTGAGCTCCATGGAGTTGGGGACTGGAGATGCAGAACATCATTTAGTTTTACAGCTGAAGAAACTGATGTATGCAGCAATATGTGGTATTATAAACATATTTTATAAAGTGGAAGTCATTTTTTTTTCCAGTTACATGGGAGGTTATGTTTCCCTCTTTTTTATTTCTTTGTTGCTTTGTCATTTCCATCTGTTGTTGTTTTGTCATTTCTTTTCCCTTCAATTCATTGTATAACAGCATAGCAGGTCCATTATCAAAGGTTTTTTGTATTCCTTGCCAGCAACTGCAATTTCTGAAGTTAAAGGAAATTTGAATTGATATTGAAATTTGTTTTATAGGGATGTATGTTGTGTCAACAAAGCCAGCAGGGTTCAGCATTGAAATAACAAATCAAGACAGCTCATTGGTGATGACAGGAGTTCGTATAATGCTTGGTACCCAGGATTCTCAGAGAGCACCTTCATATGTTGAAGTATGTGTTACAATTTCAAATATATTGTAACTAATTGTGAAGAGGACAATAAGACATACCAGCATACTGGATATACAAATAAGCACATGAAGCTCCTCACAGTTTTCTGTTTTTCCCCCTTGCCATTGTGTAGTTTAAGTTGACTTCTATCTGTTCTGTAAAAAGTCAATAAAGGGTGGAGCATTTTTTATGATGAAGGTGATGTGGTTCATCTTAATGCTGTTTTGGCTTAATTCATACATTTGTAGTAGGATGTATATTTTGAGAAGGGGTCAGAAAGTAGCCTGGGCCTGTAATCGTCTGAAAATAATTGTCGTGAAATGGAACACCCATGTTTTGTTACCTGTGGTACTGCTTGAAGAATTTGATTTTGTGGTGTTTGAAAATGGAAAGCTATGAGATTATCCTTCTCATTCTTCACAATATTTTTGGTAAACAGCAAGCAGTTAAATTTTGTACCATAATGTGCTGTGGGCAATGCCAGTCACTGAGGCCAAAGCATTGCATAAGGCATTCCATCCATCTTCATGAGTTGCTCAGATGATCAGTCTCATCCACATATTTAATATCAGCTCAGTGCCACCATTCTGAAGTGTTCTGATTGTTTATAAAAGTCTCTCAATAGCTTTATAGAAGTAGTACATGACTACAAATTGAATGAGTTGATATGTTTAGATTGCCAAGGTTACTTTTCTTTCGTGTTTGTCTGAGCTCATATGAGGTGCAATTAAAATATTTCCAGATTGAATGTTTTCTTTATATATACTTAATGCATTTTTGGCTCTTCAGTGTATTTCCTTTGTGAACTGATACAGTATACCTATAAATTTTGCCCTTACTGGAAGCATGTATGGAAGTTGTGTATTTTGTACTCCACAGGTGTGTTGTGTAATTTTTATGACAATGTTATCAAATCTGGCATGGAGCTAGATTTGTGAAGTTAGGATAACAATTTTGCAGTTTCTTGCTAGAAATTTCTACAATGACAAAATAGTAACTTGGAGTATTGGCGTAGTGTCAAAACAAGTTTTCAGTGTGTCATTTCTCAGGACACTTTGTCAGTGTGCTCTGTGCTGTCATGTTACAGCACTAAAATTGATCACATCTGTTTTAAGATTCATTGACCTTGTCTTGTGGATTACTTTATCTGTTTTATGTATCAGCATTACACCATGACCTTCAAAGAACAGACCAGAGGGTATAATCTGTAAAACCTGGAAATCTTTATGTCATAACAATTATTGAAGTTGTGTTGCCCTTTTTTCAGGTATTTGGCCGTAGCATTCAAACAAATGTTGCACGGAATCGTTGGTTTGACATGCCATTTACACGAGAAGAAAGTCTTCAAGCTGACAAGAAACTAATTCTTACATTTGGACCTTCAGAAGATCCTGGAGTAGTCACCATGGTAGATTCTATCAAAGTGTAAGATGTATTTTGTTGTTGTTTTGAGAGGTTCGGATGTGTTAGACAAATAACGAAACAATAATATAAATGTAATTAGGCAAGAGGAAAGAGTTATGATTGAATAGGAGACTGGATAGATCTCAGAACCAGTCTGGATGTTGTGGCCAAGAGAAAAGTACATGCTTCTACCAGTAATGGAACCAGATAATCTAACACACAGTCACTATGCTGACTGAGCTGTTTTATCTGACATAAAAATGGAATGTAAGCAATATATATAGGTTAATATTTTCATACTTTTATAGTGAAAACTGGTTGTCCGTGAATTTTATGTGAGGTTAGGTAACAGCTGGTTGCAAAGAAATGGCATTGACCTGTTGTCTTTAACATAAGGTCAAGTTTCTGTGTTTAATAGTCTATTTACATTATATCACGTTTTTACCCAGCACCTTATCACATATGAGGCTTCGCATATAACCATTTTTAAGGGACTGTAGGTGAATTTCAGGATGACTAGATCACAAGCATGTTTTCCTGTTTTGGTTTTTTAAAACCCCATGAACCAGAGTTCCTTAAGAAGCTGGCAGTTGCTCATCTGGTCAAGAACTAATCCCTGCCATTTATGGAACCCAAAGGTTCATTATGGTCTTTACAAGAGCTTTTCACTAGACACTGTGTTCGAACAGTAGAATAGTCCTGTCGGACACCTGCATACTCATTGTCCAATTCTATTGAGTCCAGTTAACACCTGAACTGATATCATCTGAATGAATGCTGCCTTTTTTAAATTCCAGAATGGGTGTTTGATGTCAAGTAATTTGTTGGATGTGTCTGTTTTAACAATTGCTTACAGATATGGAAAGACAAAGGATGCCTTTGGTTGGCCAGAGGAAACAGAAGATATTGCAAGTACATCAGCTGCTGTGACCCAGACTTCTGCAGGAACGAGCACGGAGACTGACAATGTGGCTGTTGCCCCAGTACAGCTTACTTCTCTGGATAGGTGTGTTCCTATTGCATACAAAATTCTTATTATATAAATATGAGTATTGATTTGCATAGGAGTGAAGTGATATAGTTTTGTAAATTTTCTTTTTTAATGTAGAGTTATTTAAAAATAATCTTTACTTTTTTTTCAGAATGATAACTGGAGCTTTGGAAGTTATGGATGGATATTTCACGTTATATGGCAGTGCAGCAACTGACGAGATAAAAGCAGCACAGCGGATGGCCGCTGTGGATGTGGCTACTAAACTCCTCACACTACCAACGCCCATATGTGTTCAGCTCCACACAAAATGTCTTCTGGCAGCACTGCATCCCACACGATCAGCATATCACAGCTATAAGGTATGTTTAATACCTTCTTGGAAGGACTAGTAAATAACTTCTTTCTTTTCTCTCTCCTGCATTTCACATTTGATAAGGTTCTGAGATAACAAGCAATGCCATTGCAAGTGCCAGAAGTGAACTCTTCCACAGTCTATTTATTGCAAGAAGTAAATTATTTTAAACAAATCAGGGAAGTTTATTGTGTTAAGTTCTAATATTGATTATAAGTGTCTGCAATTGTTTGAGTTTTTATGTTATTTGCTATGTGATTGTCCTTATACTAATGCAGTTAATTCAGTTTGAATTTAAAAGGTGTTGGACTCACCTTGAAATTATGAAGGAACTCCATTTTCCAAATGTTAGACTTTAATTCAACAGAGTTCCCCATTTATGTAAACACATGATGAATGGCCAGTACCAATTTCAGTTAATGTTTCTTAAAGCATGCATGGGGTGGCAAGGGGTGCATACAGAATTTTGGTAGGGAATCTTTCTGGAAAACAGCCACTGGGAGGATCAAGAAGGAGATGAGAGGATAACATCAAGATGGATCTTAGGGAAGTCGACTGTGAGGATGTCAAATGAATGGAGTTGGCTCAGAATCGTGGCTGGTGCGGGCTTTGGTGTTGTTAGTGTTGCACCTGTGGGTTGTGCTACCAGGGATTTAGTTAGTTTCTTAATTTTTAGGTTGTCAGATTTTTCAGCCTGAGTCTTGCAATGGGTAGGAGTATGATTTATATGAATGATGGGCTGAACCCAGTAATGGATCAGCTAGGGTGAAGGATGTTTTACTTAGAAGTTTGAGGGCTTTGTAAAGTTGATCTGACAGGTGGTATGAACAACTATTATGTGTACTAAGTATAAGCACCAAAAGCACTGCAGGATGCTAGCAGATGCTTTTCATTTTATTCAAAAAATAGTATTTTGCAGTTGAAGAGTGAATTAGATCCTTTGGGTGAATATAAGAAGGCAAATTATATTGTTGGGACTTTAACATATATGCTGGAGATGAGAAATGCCTACAAAATTTTAGTCAGAAAACCTGAAGGTATCATATTACTTGGTATACGTAAGAATAGATGGAAGGCTAATACAAAATGTATCTTAAAGGATTAGAGTATAATGTGGACTGGATTCAACTGGCTGATGATAATATCTGATTGCGGGCTGTTGTAAACATGATATTGGACTGCTGAGTCCAATAAAAGGTGTGGAATTTATTGACAAACTGAGTGACTATGAGCTTCTCAGTGACTGCTGTGTAGAGTTGGTTATGGAGGATAAGGAATAGAAAGTGTGGCTGTTTATTGCTTTTGAGGACTGCTCCATATTGCTTTTATAAATACTTAGTTGAATGTTCTCTTACAGGATCAGTCACTTCTGAACCATGTTCACCAGTCACTTGCTGCCTTGGCAGAAGTGCAGGATCCAAGGGATCTAGATGCAGAGGCTTTCTACCGACTGGTTCTGACGGCTAGGGGTGTAGCAGTATCAAGGCCGTATAACTTGGCCAAATTTGCAGAACAGCAGCAGGATAAAACTCCAGTGAGTGAACAGGCACCAGGTTAGTTCCTGCAACTGGATTGTGAGTATGAATTTAATTTAATGTGTAAAGCAATCTGTTCACTATGTGAAATTTGAGGTTTTCATGGTAGTGGTGGTGATGATGATGATTATCATCATCATTATGGTTATGCCACTTTTTAGACGCATAGGTAGATACCAATGTTGCAGAGAAACATGCTGTTCACATCTTCATATTATTTCTACACTTCATCCCTGAAGATGGAAATATGTTTCCCTGAAACATTGGTATCTACATACAACTGTTCATGGCATCATAACTCAGAACGTCGCTATCTATTCACTTCTGTTTTGTTGGTAGGTAGTCATATACACCTTAGCACACAAAGTGATCTCACTTGTATTTGTAATATGTATCACCATTAGGTGTCACATTAGTAAATAATAGAAACGATGTGTCATGCCGTGTCCTTTGTTTATTTTATAATTTGAACTTAATAATAAGAATAAGTCAGAGCTTCTTTTTCCATTTCACTTACATCTATGAAAGAGATTAAAGTGCCCTATTATTATTTTCATAGTTTATTAATTTTATTTGAAGATACATTTAGAATATTAATTTTGTGTACATATACATAAGCATTTTAAGCAAATGTTTGTTGAAAATATGTGATATAATTACAAGTAACCAGTTTCATTGGTTCATTGCAGTTTATTTTAAGAGAAACCTTGTATAAGTATGTGTACGTCAGCTAGTATTTTATAATTTTTGGGTTTCAAAAATAGCATGTTTTGTTTCTGATTTATGAATCCTGATGTAACATTATTTTGTGTTTCTTTAGCTGAAGTATCTGATGCTGACAGGAAAACAAATCCAAACACCAAAATAGAGTCCATTGAAGGTGGTCAACATCTGATGTTACAATTGATGAAGGCAATGTGGCTCTTGCATCAGGCCCACCCAGCCAACATGGCGCTGGCTCCAGTCTGTGTTCCAGGTTAGATGTGTGTTGAATAGATAGACATTTGAATCATCAGTTTGAAATTGACAGAGAAATACACAAAGTGAAACATAAGGTAAAATCAAGTCTCCTTTCACTACACATTAGCTCCCTTATACAGAAAATTCCTGGTATGGACAAAACATCTCTGTCTTTTGCAGAGGGTTTTTATTGAATAACTCTGTAGCATCTGATCTTTGGGGTGTGTGTACATGAGTGAAATTAGATGTACACCTACAGTGGTTTGTAACAGTTGATTTTGATATCGGTTTTCACTATAATTTACAGTGAAAGTGAAGGAATTAATTAGATAAGAGAATATTTAATATACTATACTATTAATATATTATTATTTGAAAACTGTTACAGATGAGGCAAGTTATTGCCAAGTGTGGATTACCATTATTTGTCACAATTTTCACCCAACATTCCCATACAAGGGGTTGATCTCTGTTTCCTTTATCCAGGTTTGACACATGTTGAAGCTACTGTCCATGCTGTTGTTGAAATTATTCATGCTTTTACAACATGTGACATGGAAGGTACAGTTGCAATGGCAGCCAAGCTTTATCTGGATTTGCTTTTGTGTGAGGACATCACTGTGAGTTTCAGTGCAAAGCAAGCTATCATCAGAGTACTACGTCCACGACTGAGACGTCGCAGGGTTTTAATCCCCAGTCCTCCCCATTGTAGCACTCCAGGTAACAGTATAGAACTAGAAACTTGTCTGCTTGAATGTTTACTATTATTCTGAATACCTAATTTGATTGTTATTAATTTTTTCAATGCTGGGTATAAGTAAAAGTGCATTTTTTGTAGGTGGGGCAACAGAATTGGAATCTGAAAAGGGCCCAGTCTCTCAGCCTTCCCAGGATTCAACAGAAGAGCAACATTATGAAGTAGACAGTGTGGAACCACTGGTGTTACTTGCTTCAGATGCTGGTTTGTACACAGTGTATATATTGTAGCTGCTGAATACAGTGTGGAACACAAATTGTGTTTGGTAGCATATTTTTAAATTGTTGTGGTGTATTGTGCAGTGAAGTTCTGCAGCTGAAAGAGAATAAGTAACTAAAAATTATCATTCTAAAGATATGGAAGAATTTTTTTCTAGACATCTGTCATTGTGTTGTCTTGTCTCCATCTTATTTGACAGGCTCCTTTGTGTATGACTCCAGAATATTTACATATTTTATATCAAAATGTGGGATAATGTCCAGAAAAATATTCTTGTATAATAAAAATATTAGAATAGATTCTCACACTACTAATTTTTTTTTTTCCAATTAAGCACTTGCTAAAGAAGTACAAGAAATTGCTAACATTTATTATATATTTACATATTTCCTCATCCATTTCTGTTGTACAAGATGTAATCAGAATTTTCATGGACAGAATTTTTAGTAATTATGTGAAAGCAACTGGCTCGTTGAGACTAGACTTTCAAATATTCTTATAACACCATTTCTGAACAATAATGAAACCGGTGTACCTACATTTTAGGAAAAAACTATATAATGTTATTAGGAGAGTAGAATCTAGGATGTTATGATGGACTCGGCATATTGCTAGGATGACAAAGACATAAAATGCCTACAAAATTTTGGTGGAGAAACCTCTTGGAAAATAAAGAAGGATTGACAGAGAGATAGACAATAATGTTATGAAGATAGGATAGAACTTTCTCAGGATTGTGATGTAAGGTGTTCAGAACAAGAACTGTATTGTAGGAGCAGGTGGTGGTGGTGTGTCTGTGAATGTGAATCCTATTGAGGCATTGCTTGGTGCACCTGGAGCATTCCCACCTCTGTTGGACATCCCTCCTGATGCTGATGATGAGACTATGGTGGAACTAGCAATAGCCCTCAGCCTGCAGGTAAGCACATCAGTAGTAGTCTTCTCATACAGAATTGTATCTGGGATTTTTAGTTGACACTAAGAAGAATAATTAGAAGAAATTTTGAATATAATACAAGTGAATTTAAGGTAGTAATTAGTATGCAAACTCATTCACAGTTTGAATTATTTTGTTGGACTTCATGGTTGTTTGTTGTTGATATGAATTTGTTTCTGCAGATGCCATACTGCATAGTTACGATTGTCTTTGTTGTATTTATTTAAATATACACTATATTAAAGTGGACGTATTTGCATATTCTTTGTTAATTTTAACAGCCTATCATGTTGCTAGAAAAATATGCATGCACATCAGTTGTGCTTCTTATGTCTTGGTGATTTTATCTATTTTAGGACCATGAAGGTGGAGCAGACTTGCAGGTTTTACAACAGGGTTTGCAGCAAGGACTACAAGGATTGTCCAATCTTCAAGGACTTCAGAACCTCAGTGGTCAAGCATTGCAGGTACTGATTTTATTAGTATAATACACCTCATACCTACCTCATTTTTTTAAACTCGGCCTCTGCAGGCAAATGCTGGGATAATACCTTGCAGGCCACAACTGTTAATGTGCTTTCTAATTCATTATTAATTTATCGTTATGTTATTCAGTTCTGTGTAGTCTGAGCTGTTTTCAGCTTCATTAAATAAGCCACTAATAAATAGACCTTGTTTCACATGTTATGGAGAAATGAAAATGTGTTTATGACTTTGTATTGAAGTATTTCATTGTCCATTGTACAGGTAGCCCTCAATTTGCGCCGATTCAAAATAACGGCAATTTTGAAACCAGCAAGTCAGAAATATATTTTACTATTATTTGTATATGAGCCAGGATAGCTCAGTCAGTATAGTGACTAGCTACGGGCTGGATGACCGGGGTTCGATCCCCAACGGGGCATAGTATTTTTCCTCCAGACCGGCTCTGGGGCCCACCCAGCCTCCTCTACAATGTGTACCGGGGTCCTTTCCCGGGGGTAAAGCCGGCCGGGGCATGATGCTGACCACTCACCCCCATCTAATGCCGAGGTCAAGAAAGAGATGAGCTATACCTCTGCTCACCCCAAGCGCCTGTATGGCACGTAGCGGGACAAACTTTACTTTACTATTATTTATAACGTTTTACAGTGTATCTCGTAATGATTCTTACACTAAATCATAATTCTTACATCGCTCATTTTGAATAAAAATTATAAATACAGTCATCTCTGCAATTACATGTTTCGTTAACGCGAATTTTCTCCAATGAGATCGATGAATCGGTAAAAGCTGTTTGTGAAATGCAAACTTTTGCGTATGCGAGTTTGCTCTTCTGCAATTTCATTCCTGGCACTCTAAACTTCCAAAGGACTAATTTAATCTCTGAAGAGGTACCAGGGTTATTTTTACTACACGATTTTCTATTATTTCAGAGCTTTAAATGTAATGCCATTAAATGTTTGAGTGCTGGGAATGCATGTCATTGACTTCCCATTGATTTACATTATAAAAGAGTTTCAATTTACGCCGATTCCGTTTACGCCAGTTCGTCCAGGAACGCATCCCCGACGTAAATCGAGGGCTACCTGTATTTATTTTCTGTATGCATAGCAAGTACAAGCATACCTATGTTACATTATTATTTCTAAGTAAGTAGTGCCATGTTTTGATACTACTATGCCATCTTTAGTCTGTGTTTATGTTAATTATAAATTCTAATATATTATTTTATTACTTGTTTATGTTACTTGTAATGTGGTTCTCCTAAAATTGATCCATTTAAGGATTACATCAATTGTATTAAAACAAACATTTCTCTTAAGTCAAGGTTAAAATATGAAAACATATTGTGATGTCTTATTCTATTTTGTAGTTTTGGACAGTCTGAAGGTGATATAATAGTGTCAAAACACATATATAATAATTTAATATTTATAAAATTGTCTTGTATATGGAAAATAATTACAATATTATAAATGAACAGGTATTATGTTGCTTCAAAAAGTAAATGTGATATTGATGTAAACATTATAATTACCTGCTGAAATATTAATTCAATGATTTTGTATAAACTTTTAATCAAATAAATTTGTAGTACAGGTGAGTTTGTGTCCCACATACTAAATTGGTATCTACCTAAACTGAAATGGCACAGCCTTTTAGAAAGTGGACATGTTTCCATTCTCAGGTACTAGGTGCTTACCACTTTTACATGAAGTCCAGAAATCCATTATTAATAATTGCAGACTTTATTTTTGATCCTGTTGTTGACCAAGAGATTACTTTATTTCTGCAGGGTTTGCAGGTGTTGGCATCCCAAGGTCTTGCTCAAGTACAGAACCAAGCTCAGGCACAGGAAGCAGGTCACTACTCTGATACAACTGCTTCAGCAGGTGGCTCTGATGATGAAGGTTCCACAGCAGCAACAGATGGCAGCACACTGCGCACTTCTCCAGCAGAACAGGTGATGAATTACCAAAAATAATGGCATATTATGGTGAAATGATTCTGTTAAGATGTTGTTGAGTGTGGTCTTGCATTGAACCAAATCCTGTAAATTGGCAAAATGATAAAAACTACAGTATATATCAAAGATTAAAAGAGCACATCAGTTTTAAATGTTGAAAAGTTATATTCTTGAGGCTGGTTTAGTTTTGAATATTATAATATTTTAATGTTTGTGTAGAATTGTTATATTTTAGTTAAAAACTTCAAAAGTTTCTTATTTTTCTATGTTGTCATCCATGATTGTGTCATAAAACTTGTTATACAGTTTTGATCAATAGGCACAATGCCACAGACTCTTTGAAATATTAAAGCGAATTATGTAAAGAATATACTTTTCTTTATGTAATTGTTCAGTTTAAATGTTCAGTATGACATTAATGCCATGCACCATAGCATATTTCAGTTCTCAGCAATCACAAATGATTACTGCTCTTTCTAAATGCGGAATCTGGCTTATGTTATGTAGTTACTGTCTCACTTCAGAGTTCATTTACTTTGGTTCAACATACACCAAAACATTGGCTGTGCAGAATTACATCTGATGGATGTTGTGGTATTAGAAAATTTGATGACTCTAAAAATGTAAACTGTAAATTTCATGATGGCAATATTGGAGTAACAGTAACAAAAATCTAGCAGTTACTGCCTTGGAAATTATTCAGCACTGTATGTATAAATAAGCAAGTTCTGAGTATGCCACAATAACTAGATGTCATATTATTCCAGAATTTGTTGAATCACACTTTTATTTCTCTTTTCTCTTCTTTCTTTTTTCTTTCTGTATTTGCTTCTTAATGATTTAGAGAGCTGAGGTAGCTCAGTCATTATAGTGTTTGGCTACAGACTGGTTGACCAGGGTCTGATCACCAATGGGGGCAGAGGATTTTTTCTCTGTCCTCTGTGGCACATCCACTCTCTATCCAGTGGGTACTGGGGTCCTTTTCCGGGTGTAAAGCTTGACCAGGGCGTGATGCTGACCATTCACCCCCATCTAGTGCCAAGGTTAAGAATGAGAGAGAGCTATACCTCCTCTCCCCCCCAAGCACCTACATGGCATATAGTGGGACAGCTTTTTCTTTGTGTTTACTAAATAACAAACAAAAGGTGATTTCAGTTTTTTATAAAAAATAATAAAAAATCAAGTACATAATAACTACTGGCAAATGAAGAAACCATTTACTATGAAGCATTCTTTTCTAATTCTGTTATTTACAAAGTTCCTATATTTGTATTTTTATGATTTTTTTAATAACATATCCATGTGCTGTTTGTAATATTGAGAAGCAGAGAATTTTTTTCTGCAGTTGAAAACTGTTTACTTTATTTTAATTTCTTCTATTTTACACCTATTTTAGCAAATATTTTGCAAAATGTAAAATAGAGTATTTCCGTATAAAATTTTATGTTTTGCATTCTGAAGCATAAGAACTCTGTAATATGTGACAGCAGTTACAGTAAACATCAAGGTCTTTAATATGCTTAAAAGTGAACTTGTGGATAAAATTTGGATAGCACAGTTGTATTGAATTGCAATAATTAAATTATAAATTGCTTTAATGAAATCATTTGGGATGGAATTGACTATAAAGCTCAAAGTTTGATGTCCTCTTTAACGTCATTGTATGTGCAGGGAGGCAGTGCAGGTTCAGAAAGTGGTGGTAGTGGTGTAGACAGCATTACGGGGGAACACAATGTATCAGGCCGTAGTTCAGCGTATGGTGATAACATGCAAGAACCTCTAGTTGGTGCACGAAGTGAAACCAGTTCCCTGGGAGCACCTGCTGGCTTCCAGGTAAGTTTCAGTGATAAATGAAACGAGATGTCTCTGAATTTAATGACTGAAAACAGATGTTGGTTTTTTTTTACCATGATCATGTGAAAATTGTCATTTAGCTTTTAGTTTGACAGTGTTAAGTAATAAATCTTTGGACTGGGTATGTGAAATTAGATTACAAATATGGCAACTGTGAAACTTTGATGTTATATCTGGCAAATTTAACATACCAGAATCTATACTTGAATAATACATATTGTTTTTATTGTTGTTGTTGCTGCTGTTGTTGCTGCCTTCTGCTATTACATCAACAACAGTCTGTAACATTTAAAATTACAAGCAAAAGAAGATCCTGATTAGAGTAGGATTTGATTCTAAGACTGTCAGCTAAATTTAATTGTATTTAAAACTGAACTTATATTACCTAATTATGGCATTAATAACACTGGATTTGTAGGACTGAAAGTTTGTGCAGAAGGGAAATGAGCTTTATGAGTTCTTCCATGAACTCCTTGTTATACATTCCATTCATTGTTCCACAAACCCAGCATTGTTAACATCTTTAAAGGAAGATTCTTCGAGACAAATAATGAATATTTGTTAGTGCTCGAAACGTTTTATAAATCTGAGAATATTGTGATGCTTGTATTGTTCATTGTGATATGAAATTTCTTCATGCCATGTATTTTGTAAACACTGATTTACTGAATTTTTGTTCTTTTGTGTTTAATTAAGTCCAGCCATCTTATTAGTCTTGCTTTGACTTTTTTCTCTGACTGAATTTGTAGACTCAGGATCCAGATGGCCTGGAACCAGAACCTGAACAGGAACCTGATACAGAGAACAGCTCAAAGCTTCACAGTTTACGACTTATGATGCTAGAGCGGCTTAAGCAGTATGTGCCACAACTTAAGGAAGTTGGTGGTGTTAGAGCCATTCCTTTCATGCAGGTAATGAAATGAATTCTGTGTTTGAGAGGGATTAGTGAAATGGGGGTACCTATGAGGCAGATTCTATAACCCATATGGTAGTAGGAAGAGGATAGTGTTGGTGATCAGGAGGATGATGTTAAGTAAGGATTATGGTGGTTGCAGCACTTGCGGTGATGGCATACTCTTAATTATTTTTTTAATTTAAAGATTTCTCTGAACATGATGTATTTGTGACATTTGATTTTGAAATGTGTAAATTGAGATTATATCTCTTGCTTCAGGAGGGTTCATGTATTATCACTTGATGATGTCATTCACAGAGTGACTGATGGTATTGTGGTGATATATTTTAGTTTGCAAATTGTGTAAGGTAGTGTATAGAAGTTATTCTTTTAATTTTTGTGCGTTTGTTTTTCTTTTCTTTCTGTTGATGAGTTATATGTATTGAGGATAAGAGTTGCAAGTTTATGAATGGAATTTTTAATGGTTCTAGGTTGTTCTTATGCTCACTTCTGACCTCGATGGTGAGGAGGAAAAAGATAGAGCATGTCTTGAGAGTTTGCTTACAGCAATTATAAATGACTTATGCATGAAGCAACCGGATATAAATAATATCTGTGACCGCAACAAGCAGCGAGAGGTGCACCTTGTTATCATGAGGCTGCTCAGTGAGTACTTATTACACATATTGGAGCATGCGGATTGGGTAATATAACATGCACTTTGAGTGATCTTTGTAGTGGAGACACATTAGTTTTTATTTGAAGTAAAGAAGTAAAGGCTTAAAATGAATATATTATACAAACTTAATTTGTTTTTATTAGTTAAATTATTACTGCCAATGAAGCTCAAATTCTTATTTAAGATGAAATAAAATGCTAGTGAAGCTCTTTTATGTGTGCTTTTTTGTCTGAACCCAGTCAGTGTATGTAGAATTAGAGATGAAATTAACACTACAGGTATAATAAATTCTACTTTCAAATTTTGCAGCATTGCCGTTAGTATATTAATTTCCATTATGTGTGCACTATGTGTTTTGTAGGTGTATTGATGTCCCGCTCAAAGTCAAACACCAAAACAACTGGAGACAATTCCAGTTTTGTGTCTCAAACCACAGCAATCATGTTGTTGCAGGCTGGTGTTATTGATTACTGTCTAACACTCTTAAAGGCTCTGCTGCAATACTGGAAAAGGTAAGGAGAAGTAAATGGATATTTCAGTATTCCAACATTCAGACTTTGAAAAACTTAACTGCTTGTTCACTTAGAAATTATGAAGTTAATTAGGAATATTGCTTGCAGTGTAATAAGAGAATTATCAGAGTACTGCATTTGCTGGTACTGTAGTTATGATCCAGTTTTTTATTTTATGGTGAATGTAATTTTTAATCAATTTACAATGAAAATAGTGATAACTTAATTTATATAAAACAGGAAAGCTTCTATTTTTATGAACTTCCTTAGATTATAATATTCTTGAATTTCTGCTGTATGCATGGTACAATATTATACATACTCTTAGAATGTTATGAGCCGGCGTAGCTCAGTCAGTATAGTGACTGGCTATGGACTGGGCGACCGGGGTTCGATTCCCGATGGGGGCAGAGGATTTTTCCTCTAGCCTCTACGTCCAGACTGGCTCTGGGGCCCACCCAACCTCCTATCCAATGGGTACTGGGGTCCTTTCCCGGGGGTAAAGCACGGCGGGGGCATGATGCTGACCACTCGCCCCATCTAGTGCCGAGGTCAAGAAAGAGTAGGAGCTATACCTCCTTTCCCCCCAAGTGCCTACATGGCATATAGTGGGACAGCTTTTACTTTACTCTTAGAATGTTACAGTTTAGCTTATTTACTAAACTTCTGCAGCAGTGGCTGTATGTTTTGGTGACGGTACCATCTTCAGTCCACATTGTTTATGGCCATACAGATTGCTTTCATACTTGCCTTCATTATTGTATACATTCCCATATTACAGTGAAACCTCTATCTATCGTTCCCGGAACTATCGTTTTCCCGGATGCATCGTCCGTTTTGTTCGGTCCCGAATACATCCCATATAAAATAATGTTACATTTTCCCGCTTCTATCGTTCCTCGAACTAGCGTTTTATCGCATCGATCGTTCAAAAATCTTAGTCCCGGCCAACAATTTTCCCGCAATGATCGTTTCTGAGAAATTAAAATGCTGGGTTTTGAGATAAATTAATACCGAAAGACGCACAATGTTTTTGGAATACACAGTAGCGGTAACCTGTTATGTCGCCCAACCAGCACAGATCCTTTTGGAATGAGGGGTCAGCGGTGCAGGGGTGATAGTTGGAGTGAATGGCGGTGCTCATTGTCAGAAATTTTACGATTTTAATTAGGGTGCACTCATATTTCGTTCCAGGGATGCCAAATGGCATGTGCACTGTGAATTTCTTCACAAATGCTTTTATTAGAAGTACAAAGGAAAGGCTGGCGGCACTTTTCATTCTTCTGGTTCATCTCCTTTCCAGTGGTTCAGTGTCTTCTACGGCTACGTTTCGTTGAGTTCGGCAGTAACAGTACTTCCATTCTTCCTGTTATTGTTCCAGTCTATACTTTTGTTGTTGTTCCCGTAAATATTTTGTTATTCCTCTTACTCCTGTTAATTATTTTGTTATTATTCCTGTACCATGTCTCGCCCACTAAAGCAAGTCAGAACTCTTCAAGAAAGATTAAAAATCATAGAAGAAGTGGAGAAGAATCCATTTGAAAAAAGAATCGACATTGCTAAACGCCTTGGATTAGCACCATCTACTTTAAATTCAATAGTTGCAAAGAAGAAAGAAATCCGAAAACAAACTGACAAGTGCGGTAATTCATGCAAAAAAAGGAAAACCGGAAGGAAATCAACTTTCAGTGAGCTAGAAAGTGTCCTCTTCACTTGGTACCAGCAATCGCGGGCCTCAGGAATTCCTGTTGATGGCAACATCTTGCGGGAAAAAGCCAAGACGATAGCCGCAAGACTGAATATTGAAAATTTTGCAGCGTCGAATGGCTGGATTAGTAGGTTTAAAGAACGACATGGTATGGTCTACAAGAAGTTAGCCGGCGAAAGTGCTGCTGTGGATGTGGAAGTAACGGAGCTGTGGCTCGAGAGACTGCCAACACTGCTGGAGGGATATGAGCCGCGGGACATTTATAATGCGGATGAGACCGGACTTTTCTACAACGCCCTCCCGGATAGGACTCTGGCATTGAAAGGTGAATCTTGCCACGGGGGAATACGTGCAAAACACCGAATTACTGTTCTTCTGTGTGTTAACAGTGACGGTAGTGACAAACGGGTTCCGATTGTAGTTGGAAAATCACGAAAACCGCGTTGTTTCAAAAACATGAAAAAACTTCCGGTGAAATATCACGCCAACAAAAAGGCTTGGATGACAACAGACATCTTTACGGCGTTTTTAAGTTCTCTGGATGCCTCCATGGGCGCACAAGGCAGAAAGATTTTGCTGTTTGTTGATAATTGTGCCGCTCATCCGAAGGACACGACATTTCTACGAAATGTGAAAGTCGTGCAGTATCCAGCAAATTGCACGAGCGTCTTGCAACCGCTTGATTTGGGCATCATAAAATCTTTCAAACAGTTGTATAGAAGCGCCTTATGCAAACAGCTGTATGTGCAATGGATGCTGGGAAGGATGTCAACATGAAAATTGACGTGCTACAAGCAATTCATTTCACAGTGGCAGCTTGGCGGCATGTCTCCCAACCAACTGTTCTGAATTGTTTTCACAAAGGTGGCTACGGGTGTGAACTTCGCTCAGAAGCAGACTCTAACGTCAGTGTGGATGAGCATGATGGCTTTCACGAAGACTGGAATAGATTTGGCGCCGTGAAAAACGTGGTTAAATTTGGTGACTACGCGGCAGTAGACAGCGAGCTTGCTACATGCGGAGTCGACACGATTGATGATTTGTTAGACGATCGCGAAGGGGGTGGGAGCGGTGAGGAAGACGACGAATGCGAGCCCGAAGCTGTGCCGAGTTTTGCCGTAGCACACGCTGCATTGGCAAAAGTGAAGTCGTTCTTTTATGCCCATATTAGCGAACGTGACGAGGAAAACATTTTGAACGTGGAAAGTACTCTGTTTGGTCTAAAACGTAAAGTTTCGACAAACCAGTTGTCCATTAAAGACTTTTTTTGGTAAAAAGAAGTAACTTTGAAAGAGAAACATTGTTTTTTTTTAAAAATTTAATGCTTTCCCGCATCTATCGTTTTCCCGCATCTATCGTTTTTATTTCCCACCCCCGCCGAAAACGATGCATCGAGGTTTCACTGTATATCAGTAGAATACATGATTCAGAAGGTAACATGCTTTGAGTGTCCATTATTTTTTGCTGTATAACCATGAAATGGATATAGTAAAGTAGGTATGAATTACACATTTGTGTGTGTGTGTGTGTGTGCTCATGTGCGTGCTTATATATATAGTAGTATAATCTTATTTTTGCTTTCTTACAGCATTGTCAGTTGTATGAATCATGCTAAAGAAAATAATAATCCTATACTTCAGGACTCATGGTACAGACAATTTTGAATCCTTTGGCTTGAGTCCTAAAACTGATAGAGCGTGAATATGATGATGGTGAAATAGACTGAGAATTAGAATGTTTTATTATTTCTTAACCATTTTACCTTGTATTGTTAATGGTTTTGTATAAGGTTTTACATCATTTAAATAATTCACCCTTGCAACATGTTGCCTCTGAAATCATGCATATAATTTACTGTTAGTATACATTGATGTGATAATGTACATAATAAATATGAGAGTGTATGTTAAAACACTCTGCATCATGCCTCATATGTTGCCTGAAGATAGTGTAATCAGTGAAACATCTAGCTACTGTTAGTAGTTCAATAATAAATATGCTGTGTTGACAGTAACCAAGGGTATAATACTGTACTGTACATTAAGTCAGATTTCAAATGTAATGCCAAGAAATTTTCTTACAGTTCCACCGTGGAAGAGGCTGGTACTGTGATTGGTGGTGCACTTTTGAAGTCACACATGACAACTACACCACCTGATATGTCACCATTCTTCTTGCGCCAGTATGTCAAAGGTCATGCCAGTGATGTTTTTGAAGCATATCCACAACTGCTCACAGAAATGGCACTCAGACTCCCATACCAAGTGCAGAAGCAAGCTGATAATGCCACTGCAATTCCACTTACATTCCAACAGGTAATTTGTTTTTGTTGGATTGTGGTCTTCTGAGTAGTGACCTTCTGAGTTATGACATCACTTGATTTTGCTGTTGGTTACCAGTATTCAGGGGAATGTATTACCTCTGTCTTCATAGTAGATTATATTTTTAAGCTTATAAATTTTACTTTTACATTTTAACTGCTGTAAGGATTTAACATGTTTATACTGGGAACCATGATATTACAATATACATGACCATGTTTTACTGCCTAAAACCATAATATTGAAGTTTTGATGAAGTTCACTCAGTTTCTTCTGTGTCAATACAACCATGATGATCATTAGCAGCATCATATTCTAGTTACCATGTAGACACTTACATTTCTTCCCTCCATCCAACAGAAAGGTCTTGACCTACCAGAGAATTTATTCTGAAGTGGTTTACATAAGAAGCTGTTCTAGTCTTTGTAAAATGGTTATGTAGGAAATGAAACATGTTGAAAGGCAATGAAATAAATGAAATTGTGGGTGATAATAGCAATTTTGATATGGGTGTTAAAGATACAGACAGTGACCTGTGTATCTAGTATTGAGGATATGAGTAATTTTCAGGAAAATTACCCATCTACAGGCATCTGATGTGCAAGTAATACATCTGGCAATAGTAATTGTTACCGGCAGCAAAGTGGCAACCTGATCATGAAAGGAGTAACAATAGTAATGTATCTTCTGAATTGATTCTTTTGTAAGGTAATTTTTGAAAGATGGATAAGCTACAATAATTGTGCCCCATATGTTTGGGGCTCAGTGTGTTAAGTCACAACATACCCTTGTTGTCTAACACAAGTGAGTATTGACTTATGTAGTATATCCTGTGGTATTAGCAGGTTGCTTGAAGTGTCATGGAAGGTACAAACCATTTTGTAAGTCCTTTATGCTACTGTGATTAATGATTTCATTTGTTAATCATTTGTGTTATTTGTGAGCAGGGCAAACTTTAGATTCATGTTGTTTCAGGTCTGGTATTACTACTTGTGTGAGTACATGATGACACATCAGACTCCATTTGTTCGTCGACAAGTTCGTAAACTGCTTCTCTTTATATGTGGCAACAAAGACAAGTACAGACAACTGCGAGATCTACATGCTCTTGAATCTCATATGAAGGTAAGAGTAATTAATTTCTAATATACAGTCTTGTTTGCTGTTACTTAAAGTAAATTGAAATTATAGGATAAGTGAAGATCACTCTCTCAAAAGGTACATGTGTCCAAAAATCTGCAGAGTTTAATAAAATACTTCATGACTTCTATGAGTTGGAGTAGTGGCTGGTTACGTGTTGGATGTCTGTGGTTAGATTCTTGGTAGACACAGGAGTTTTCCTTGATACCACCTACTTCAGACTGGCCCTGGAGCCAACCTGGAAGCTTTCCTTGAGTGTAAAGCAGCCAGAGCATAATGCTGCCCACTTAGTTCCATCTGGTGCCAAGGTTAAGATTGTGTGGAGTTTTACCTATACAGCCTCATGGTGTAGTGCTTTGGCAGAGGCCAATTTTACCATTAGCTTTTACTTCACATGACTTTTAGTTTTACATTCTCCATACTGTTTTATTATATTTCCTAAAACTAACCATCAATTACCTGTTCTTTGTTTATTTACATGACATGGCATTTAATCCATGTTTAATCTTGTCTAATATTGTGTGTTATAGAGAGGTAGCTAACATTCCATTGGCATATAAATGTATCAGTAGAAATTTAAAGGTATGAGAGACAGTAATACAATTCTTTGTTGATGTTCTGGAGTTTGTCTTTTCAGTGTGTTCGGACATGTTGTCAGGCTGGTGGATATGACCCAGAGGTGCAGCAGCCACATTATATTACATTGCCATATGACTCGTTGGTAGAACTAATAGAACATCTGAAGGCCTGTGTTGAGGTAGCTACGAGTCGAACTGGGAACTGGCAACGTTTTTGTGTGCATGAGGAATCTGTGTTACCATTTCTTCTTCAAGTGTCCTGCTTGCTAGATGAAGGTGTTTCTCCAACCATTCTGCAGCTCCTTCAGTGTGCGATATGTGGCACTAAGGCCAATAGTAGTAGTACCAGTAATTCACAGGTCAGTTGTCATGGACTTACATTTGGTTATACTTAGAAGTCTGAATATGAATGTTGTAAATCCTTATCTTCATTCTGGCTGAACAGAGATTGTCTAAATTTGATCTTGCTAAATATTATTAACAGAATTTTATTCCTTAATTGGACAATTTTTACTGCCATGTCACATGAAATGTCATAATATTATGAATTTCTTGAGGGAGTAATTGCCTAATGCGTTTTGTGTTTCAAATTTGTTTTAAGCTTTACTGCCATAACCTTAAATTTCATATGGCAAGGCCATTAATATATACAACTGCCTGTTAATTTTAAAGACATTCAGCATTAAAGTAATATATTCATTTATGGTGTATTTGCTAAGCCATTGTCACCTGTATAATATGAAGTAAACAGGAATATATTGGTTAACTTAAAATGCCTCTGAGAAATGTCTTTACTTTATCTTTGCATTATATAACGTTACATTAAATAGGTTTTCATCTCCCCATTAAGATTCTTAAAGCAACTTCTATTAAATACTCGGAACCATTATTCCTTGGACATAAAATAGCTTCATTAATGAAATCAGTATAATCATTTACACACACTCTCTGCACATACTTTGTTAATTGCAAGGCAGTTCATATATATAGTTAAGAAATATCAAAGATGTCATAGCTTATAAATGCATGAAATAAATTACCATTTATTGCAACAGTCCAGAAAATCATAGGTTGTATTTGTATTATTAGAGTAGGGAGTGACTTGCTGGAATTAGAGAAGTTAGTATGTATTAATGTTTTTTTATTTCTGTGGGTTGTTTTTAGGGCTGATTTTCCTGTGTTTTACTCTGCAGATGGGGTCAGTTCCACCTCCATCATCTGCTGCTTCTGCAGTAACAAATACTGGCACACCTGCACCAACACCTGTGTCTGCTGCCGCCGCTCCATTTCCAGCAACAGCTCGCAAGGATCGGGAGAAATCTGATGACTCAGATACAGAAGCACGCTTTGAGGAAGCACAGTGCATAACATTGGTGTCTCAAATAAACAAGCAGGTGTCACATGATCTCCTGGCTCGATTTGTTAAAACTTTCCTTCTAGAGACAAATGCCACCACCGTTCGCTGGCATGCCCATGCACTTGTACTTGCCATATACAAGTAAGGTTTCATCAATTAATTTAGACCAAATGAAATTCATTTATCCACCACATGGAGATGTATTTTTGAGCACGAATTAATCTTTTTTTATCCAGGAACTCACCTACTGCAGATCAGGAGGCCATATTGGACCTGCTTTGGAAGCTGTGGCCTCAGCTTCCAGCATATGGACGTAAAGCTGCCCAGTTTGTTGATCTGCTTGGTTATTTCTCACTCAAAACGACACAGACTGGGAGGAAGGTAGGCTGACAGTACAGAGCAGTTTATCTGACAGTTATTGCTCTTTGTTTCAGCAGTCAACTTAGCTGGTTGGCAGTTAGCATGAAAAGACTATTCCATAAGACTGCCACAGTGGTAAGAGGTTGACCATTTATTACTGTGTGTCATTGCACATTTGTTATGACCACATGTGAGCATTCCTTGCTTGTTTATGTAAATCTGTGGTGAGATGCAGTTACTTTATTTTGATCACGATAACGCAGTAGAATACACCACAAATAATAACTGAAGTGGTTTTACTGAAATATTGAAGGGAAGAGATAAATAGAAGAAACAGGCATAGATATGAGGTTAACATTAAAATGCATCTAAAGAAATGGGGTTTGAGAGTGGACTGGATTATCTTTCTCTTTATTGGTTAAGTGGCAGAATTCTGCAAACACTATCGAAACTTTGGGTTTCATAAAATGTGGGAAATTTCTGATAATCTGACAAGCTGTTAGTTTTTCAAGAAAGGCTTGCTCCATGGGCTTAGTGGGGGGAAAATTATTCAATTCAATTCATTTATTAAAGTGCTTGATAACAGCCGAAAAGGCCAATAACAGCCAAGCACTAACAACAATACAAATCTTACAGTGCTAAAGCAAACAAACAAAGAACTGAATATATAAAGTACAATATTAATTTATTGCAAAATAATTAATAAGTAAATGAGCTAAATGTTATGGATAAGTAAATTAAAATCAGTTCAATTTTGGACAAACAACATACAAAATAAATTATTATACTAAATAAATAATAAAAAAGAACAATGATTATTGTTTAAAGAGCTGACTGACATCAGTAAGCAAAACAGGATCTTTGTTAAAGATGTCGATGCTCCTACAGACTGCATTGGCAGCAGAAACACATCTGGCAGAGGGACTAGCCTTGAAATTACGTTGTACAGTAAAGGTAGAGTAGTCTCTGATAGACCTAGTGGGTATGCAGAGACTAACTGTATCAAAAAAAGATGAGCAACTAATTTTGCCTTTAAAAACATTAATGAGGAAAAGCGCATCCAAAAGCTTCCTCCTTAAATGCAACGATAAAAAATTTAATCTGACTAATATATCATCATAATTATAGGCACAAACATCATTAAAGAATCTAGTGTAACACAAAGCTACAAATTTCCTTTGAATCCTTTCCAGTTTAAAGGAGTCAGTATTAGTAATAGAGTTCCAAAGCATTTGTGATCAGCATAAGTGTAAAAGTTTTCAGTTAGTCTAATGAAATTTAAAGTTTTGTTGCCATTAACTTGTTACACTCATATTTTGGGTTGTTGAGCCCCTACCCTTTCTTTCTTTCTTTCTTTCTTTCTTTTTTCCTTCTTTTTTTGCAAATTATTATTTTGAAAATTAAATGTTCATGATTTTTATAGTAGCCTTTCACTTCAATACATTGCTTTATGTCCATTTGTATCTAATCAGTTTCTATGTTTCTGATTTGACTACCTCAGTTTTAAATACCTTCATTAAAGAATTTTCTCACAACAGTATATGAATTCATTATTCCACATAGAAAATTTAAATATGTATGTACTTCACTATGAAGCTGAAATTGAACAAAGTGATTCATCAGTAACCAGTGAGACTTTTATCAAGCAATACCCAATACAAGTTCCTGCCAAGGCAGTTGCTGTCTTGATAGATTTTTCATTGTTTTCCCCAGCTTTCCAGTCAGATACTCTATTCCAGTGGTATTCAACCTTTTTTGTTCGCATACCCCCAGATATAATTTCTCTTCAACTTTGTACCCCCAAAGTTGTTGGTGTGTAATTCAAGTTATACATAGTATATAATCTACATCTAAAATAAATTAAATTACATTACTGATTATTCAGTGTTTATCATAAAATAATTTTTTTTTTTTAAATTTCATGTACCCCCTAAGATGTCTTCGTGTACCCCCGGGGGTATGCGTACCCCAGGTTGAATACCACTGCTCTATCCTTTCTAGCTTGAAGTACATAATTCTTTCAGTATTAATAGGCTGCTGCAGTAGATAACTATGACCCATCCAAACTAGAAATGAAAGGTTTCGTGTTGCAGATGTGTGAATACATGGAACAAGCTGTAGCAGTGTTACGCATGCAGAACCAACTGCTGGCTCATCATCCAAATGCTAACCTGTACTCACACCTAGCGCAATTTGTTGAGTTGGATGGTTACTATCTGGAGAGTGAACCTTGTCTTGTGTGCAACAATCCAGAGGTGGCCTTGTCTAGTATCAAATTATCTTCTGTCAAGGTATTTTCAATACATATTAATAGAGTTGACATGCATGGCTATGTTCTGTCATTAACTACAGCCTTTATCACCTGGGACACTTCTCTGGGTTCTTGACAGTGGCACTTTTACTTTCTAAATGACAACACTCATATTGAAGATACACTCTTAAATTAGGGAAGGGGGGGAGTGGATTCTCAATACTGTCCCAGTATAGTGCCACCAAAAAATGTACCTCTGTTCAGTACATTCAGGTACATACAGTAGGTACTGTATTGTTAAAAGGGTATGTAATATTGGATGACATTCTCTAGATGATCATTTGTACCTTCTCTTTGGTAAAGACTTTGTGTTGTTTTCAGGTATAAATTCAGAAAAAGTCTGTTACTTACATTCATGTAAATATGGTAGATAATATTTTCATTCAGATAGTGGGTGATGGTTGAAATTCTCAAGGCAATAATTTGTACTTCCTGTTTGATAAAGGCAACATATTATTTACAGTAGTAAAGTAAGAACAAAAGCCATAACTTATGTTTAGGTAAACGCGGGACACATATACAGATGTCCACAAAATACTTTTTTGTTTGAAACTGTTATAGTTTTCTTAACCATGATAGAATTGAATGAAACCTAAAGAAATGGGAACATGCAGTTTATAAAATAGGATGCTGCACTTTGTTGTTGGAAAGCAGTTTTCTCTCCTTCCAGTTGTGGAAAGATGAAGTTTTCTGGTAATTCACTAATGTGCAACTGTATTACATGCTGTCTGTATCATGTGGTATCTTCAGTACATTCGTGGCACCACAGAACAAAGCTCAGCTCATGTTGTGGCTTGCAGAGTTTAAATTTATTACTAATGTTCATTGATTATGCATGAGATCCAGATGAGCATAAAATATTTATAGTGTTTGGAACATGTATATTTATAATTCTGAGTAATGTATTGTTGTCAACAGATTGACTCAAAATTCACAACTACTACACAGATAGTAAAGCTTGTTGGTAGTCATACCATTAGTAAGATTACACTGCGCATTGGTGACCTGAAACGCACCAAGATGGTACGAACTATCAACATATACTATAACAACCGTAGTGTACAGGCAGTTGTGGAATTAAAAAACAAACCAGGTAAGCTGGTCAGGTTCCTCATGTCACAGAGTCTTTAGATGGGTTTTGATAAAAACCATGAAAAACTGATAATCAAAATGAATAGGGTAGTTTATAAATTTTGAGTGATGTAATGAAAGTGGCACACCAGTAACATTCAGAATGCATTTTAATATTTTCACTTTGTGCCATCACTTTCCCAATATTACTATCCATAAAATAAAAGAACCATAGAACAGAAACAGACTTGCACATATTAGTGTGTTTTGTTTACCCAGAAGCTAACATGGGAAGATACACTTGCAAATGGTTACTGCAAAGTCTCACAGTCCTAAAATGACTGGTAAAGTTGTATCAGGTTTGAATAATTTTAATTTCTTAAATATTTTGAAATATTTTGTGCTATGCAGTATTGAAGTCCATTTATTTTATGAGCTTCATTTTTTGATCTGTATATCTCTGTTACTTTGTAGCTATGTGGCACAAGGCAAAGAAAGTGACTCTGGCTACTGGGCAAACAGAAGTAAAAATGGAGTTCCCTTTGCCCATTGTAGCATGTAATTTAATGATTGAATATGCTGACTTCTATGAGAATATTCAAGCATCTTCAGAGACTTTACAGTGCCCGCGCTGTTCTGCGTCTGTACCAGCCAATCCTGGTGTTTGTGCTAATTGTGGTGAAAATGTGTTCCAGTGCCATAAGTGTCGGTGAGTACTCCTCTTTATTTCAGTATCTAATGTTAATTGTTTAGTTGGTCATTAAATGCGTTAGGTCCAGCTGTTATATTTGTAATCTCACTTTGTGAAGCTATTATGTAACTGTTGATATTAAATAATGAAACAGATTTAAATGCAGTAAAAACCTAAACTCACCTTTATAAGCTTGAAATTTGGTTAGTAGTGCCAAAGGACCAATCAAAAACATAAGTACAGTTGCATATTTATGTCCTACTTTCCTTATTTTGTAAATGAAGATAGGCTTTATATCAGTTCGTTTGTTCCCTCTGATATCTTTTTGGTCATTTGATGGGTTTTCATGAAACATTGTTTGAAAATCTTGAAACTGGGTGCTGTCCCTGTTGTAATTATTAATTTTCTGCTGTTGATAATACCAATGTGGTGGCCATGTGAGTTTCTGAGGTGGAAATTACTTTGGTGCTTCTTCATGTACTGTCCTGAATTTGTATATCATAAGTGGCGGTTTTAGAGGTGCTTCAATAACATGGTTATGTTCACTCTTTTTTGGGGGGAAGGGGGGGGGAATGGCTTGTTAAAAATATATACATTTTATTGAGAAAATTGTATATAATGGAAAGGACTAGCATGACACTCTGTGGAGTAGATATTTAACCTTCTCTTTGTTAATGATAACTAATGGTATTATTTGAATGATTATATATGGAGAAAGAACATAAAAATATGTATTAATTGAGTGTGAAAAATGTTTATATCTGAACACTTGTATTCATGGCAATGATGCAAAACTGTAATGTTGTATCTGACAAAGGTAAATGCAATAGGAATCTGTAATTGTGGAAATTATGCACATAGATGAGTCATTAGGTGTATAGTTACTGATTTATACTTACTCTTAGTTTTATGACACAGTTTGACGTGTTTGTAGAAAAGTTGGCTTTGAAAGTTCTTAAGAGAACAGAATAATGAATAAATGTGCAGAGAAGGGATTGTATATGTATCCAGTTGTGGTGTGCAAATGGTAGCTTTACTCATATTACAGTATGGTAATGAAATGTATTCCACCACCACCATTGTGTTCAAATTGTGACTTTTGTTAAGAAATTATAATTTTATTTTATTGCAGTTCATATATAATAATTAAAATGCATAAATAAAAAACAAGTTATTTCTTATATGTTAAATGTAGCTGTAATCAGATTATTTCTTTTATTAACAGGGCAATCAACTATGATGAAAAAGATCCTTTCCTGTGCCATGCTTGTGGTTTCTGTAAATATGCAAAATTTGATTATACCTTAACGGGAAGAGCATGTTGTGCTGTTGACCCCATAGAGAGTGATGATGACCGCAAGAAAACTGTAGCCACCATCAACTCTCTTCTGGAGAAAGCTGATCGGGTCTATAAGCAGCTTATTGCCAACAAACCTACTCTTGAGGTCAGTACTGTATAAACAGCTGTTCTTAATCTTGTGTTCCTGAAAATAGAATTTGAAGGAATTAAATCTCTCATAAAGCCATACATGCCATTTATGTCTTTGTGTGTTTACTACTTTAGATTTTCCAATCATTATTGTCAGGTAATGTACTAGTTCTTTATATGCCAGTTAAAACCTGCAGTAATGAAGATATAGTCAGAACGTTTCATTAATTGAGATGTAGCAATAACATTCTTAGCACTATATAAGCATTTACTACAGCAAAAATTGCAATTGATCTACTTGTTACTGATGCAGAACTTTTCTGTAAGTAGCATTACTACATTGCAATAAATGACACTATTTATGAAATGTTCTCACTTTTGTAGTTCTTGAGGTGTTGAATATCCTTTGTAGTCATATTCTTGTTGCAGTTGTTGCTACTTAAGATCAGTGAGCACAGGCTGGATCGAGCACTGGAGGAAGGTGTGCAGTCGGGTAATACAACAGGCAGCACACAAGTTAATCGTGCCATCCAACTTCTGGCTCAGCGCTACTGTGGCGAATGTAAGAGCTCATTTGAAGAACTCAGCAAAATCATCCAGGTATGTGTCAGGGTTTGGAGCAGACAGTAAACTTTTCTCTTCTAGCACTGTTTCTGTTGTATAAGGGTCAATTGACATTGTAAACGTACACTCTGTATTTTAACCTTGTATCTACCAGATATGTTCTGTAGTTCCAGAATGTAGTACTGTAATACATTGTTTACATCTGACTGACTCCAAGGAGCAGAATCCTTTTTGAGAAGCTGATAGTCAGCTGGTCAAGAAATTCCCAGCTTCTTTTGGGACCCAAAGATTCAGTATGATACTTGTAAGGGCCTGTCACTGGATTATGTTTTGGCCTGGTTGAATTCTGTCCACACACTCACCTTATTTCTGTAGTTCATTTTAGTATTATCCTACATACACCTAGCTTTCAGAAGTGGTGCATTGCTTTCAAATTTTGTGACTGAAATGTTTTATGAATTTCACTTCTTATGAATACTACTTGCCCTTCCTCTCTCATGCTTCTCAATTTTCTCAAATATTTGATGGAGTACAAATTTTGAAATGTTCAAATTGTCTATTTTTTCCATCCTCCTGTTACTACTTTTTCATATATTTATCTATTCTTCTCAGCACCATTCATTCTTTCTTACTGTACAGTTATTGGTGATGGTGTTTATGTATGGGTATATATATATATTAGCATACCAATATGTTTTGTAAGTGGGAGATCCCTGTTTCAGATCTGTGCTTAACTATCCTTAGAGTTCTAAGTGAAGTAGAATTTTTAGTGTAAAAAAGATGGGAACAAAAAATGTCTTCACAAATATTTGTAGTGTTATATACAGATTAGCCAATGTTTTTTCTTTAGTCTTCAGTCTTTGGTAAAGGTGGAGTTTGGCCTTGGTACTTAGTAAACACCACACCATGAAGGCATACATAGTGAATTGGAAGTATGAATTCTTGGTTCTTTATATCAGTAATTTTTTATCTTATTTTAAATGCATATTCATATCATCCTGCTAGTTTTCCTTCTTGATGAAAGTTATTATAATGAATGTTTTCTGCCCTCGTCTTCTTTCTGAAAATTCTGGGCATGAAAAGACTTGCAAATGCCATGTGTGAAAACTTGTTACATTATTAGAGAAGCTTAAGTTATGGAAGAAAAATGTATATGTATTCTTCTAGTTCTACCAGTTTTAATGTTTGTTCTGTTTTGTACAGCGTGTCCTAGCATGTCGGCGTGAATTGGTGGCATATGATCGCAACCAACGAGATCAGAGTGTGGGTGGATCAACAGGTTCAATCAACATGTTGTCTCTCTCAGAACCTCCACCAATAGGACACTGTTATGGATGTGCTTCAGCTGCAACTGAACATTGCCTAACTCTTTTGCGAGCTCTAGCTGCTAGTGCAGCTTCCAGACAGACCTTATGTGCTCAAGGCCTCATTGCAGAACTTTTGGACAACAACTTGCGGAGGGGAACTGTTCAGGTATTACTTTTGCTTCATTAAATACATAGTATTGTAGATTTTAAAATTGACCAGCTTCAATATTTTGTAATCTGCCCATGTATTTTATTTCTGAACTTCTTGCATAGATTTCAGTAATGTTTAGCACTTATGCTCTACACTAAAAGTTACCAGGTGTGTAAACACTTTGTTAAAACAAATAATTTAATTTATGTATAAATGTTCAGTAATGGTAACAATACCACTTGTAGGATTTGAGGTTTTCACAGCGGTGAGTGTGAAGATTGCTGGTAGCTAACTTTTTAACATCATCATAAAGTATCACTATCCATCAATAAACGGAGATACATCTGGCTCTTGTGACTTACTTAGAAACTTGTACATTCATAGAATGTAGACATGAGAATATTTGCAGAGACTACTTCTGTTTTAACCATTGTTCTCTTTGGTTGAATAGCAGAAAAAATTGTTGAACAGGCAGATTCATCTCTGTTAGATGTTTTATTATGAAATGTACTCAAAAGCATACACAGAATTGGAAATGAATGAATTGCATGTGAATATTTGCTGTGCAGGTTCAAGAGGAGGTAAGACAGTTGCTGTGTGTGCTGACTCGTGATAATCCGAGATCAACAGAAGACCTGCGGTCTCTGCTGATGGATCGCATTGCTTTAACTCTGCGTGGTCATGTGGCCAGCTCTGACCTGGCTTTTGCTGTGCGGCATGAAATGGCACTACTGGCTGCACTTGTACAGAAAGAAGATTCGTGCTGGGAGCAGAAACTGAGGTACGTGTGAGAGATAGGAGGAAATATTTTCTTACCTCTGTACTTTAAATTAGTTTAAGATCATTAATTTTGTCTTTTAGATATTCCCATTTTCTTCCTACCCTTCTGAAAATTTCTACTGGTTTTATATTTTACATTCTTCATATTCTCATATTGGCAGAAATTCAGATATTCTTTGTAATAGCTTTCAGAACTCTGTTTATGTTCACACTATCCATGTTATCCATAGCTGCTGTCCTGTTTGAGAAAACGACAGTTGCGGGAAAGCATTAAAGATGAGATAAAATTAAAATAGTGCATTTTTCTCTTTTGCATATGCAAAACAATACACATAAAACCTGTTTCAAGGTTACTTCTTTTTGCCAAAAGAGTCTTTAATGGATAACTTTACGTTTTAGGCGAAACAGAGCCCTTTCCATGTTCAACACGTTTTCCTCATCACCTTCAAAAATATTGTGCGCACCAATGCAGCATGTACTTTGGCAAACCTCGGCACAGCTTCGGGCTTGTATTCGTCGTTTTCCCCCTTCTCAGCGTTCCTGAACCTTTCGCGATCGTCACACGACTCATCGATGGTGTTGGTCGTGCATGTGGCAAGCTTGCTGTGCGTCTTCCGATATTAATTTATCTCTAAAGCGATCATTTTAAATTCTAAAAACTTTGAGTAAATTTTGTTATAATTTCTCAGAAACAATCAGTGCGGAAAAATTGTGGGCCAGGACTAAGATTTTTGAACGATTGATGCGATAAAACGACAGTTCGAGGAACGATAGAAGCGAGAAAATGTAACATTATTTTATATGAGACGTATCAGGGACCGAACAAAACAGACGATGCATCCGGGAAAATGATAGTTCAGGGAATGATGGGTAGAAGTTTCACTGTACTTGTCCTACACTTTAACATTGGTTAGTCCCATATCAAACTTTTACATCCACAATTTAGTGGTCAGTATTGTATTCATTAATGATCAAGTAAATATACATGAATGTTGTCTGATTTTATCAACACATGATCAGTCTGTGTTTGTGTGTTCCCATTGAGAGAAGTCTAGGTGTATAAATTTTGCAGTATGGAAATACTGTACTCTTGAAAACAAAAATTGTTAGGGTAAATTCAGTACTCTAACCTCATTATGATTGGTAGTTACATGGAAACTCTCATTCAAAATTGCCAAGTAACAAATACTTCTTAATTTAAATTAATATAATTTGTATATGGTACAAAGAGAATCAATGAAATGTATCTTCTAATTTCTTACAGAAGCTGTCCTGTAGTTGTAAATATGTTTGTTTCTTCATTAGGTGTGTAATGCAGCTGTTCCTTATGGCATGTAAAGACTCCAAGTCTCCTGTGGTCATGCAGTCAATTATCTTACCATGCCTCAAGATCCTGCAAAGCCTCATCAAACCAGACCAACCTGTTTCCAAAAAGAACAAGGTACATGTGATTTTCTTTTCTTTTGAGTATAATGTATTCAAGGAATGCTTTCTGTGATTCAGTTCAGATTGTCCTATCTTCATTTCTCCTGTCTAAAAAAAACTTAAAAGACTAAAGTATACAAAACTGATTTTACCTGTTGTGGGTCTGACTCTTGGTCTCACATACTGTGGAAAAACATAGATTGAACTTGTCTGAGAAGTGAGTGGTAAAGAGACTATTCATTTTTAACAGGGAGGATGGAAAACATTTCAGAATGATGAATTTCATAACTTTTGCTCCTTACCTAATATTCTTAGGGTATTTAACAGTTCAAGGAGGATGAGATGGATGGGTTGTGCAGCATGGATGGGAGGTTTTGAAACACAAATTTTAGTTAGAAAACCTGAAGTGAGGACCACTTGGGAGACCTGGGCATATGTAAAAGGATAATATTAAGACAAATCTTGAAGAAATAGTTTGAAATGTGAAACTGGATCCAGTGGATATGTCACTTAACACTGGTTGTTGCAGGACAAGACAGTTGATGCATTGGCCACCATCAGACCAACAGAAGGGGTGAGAGTCGATGTAGCCAAATGGTTACAAAGTGATCCGAAACATTCATACAAAGTATGGCGACAGCATATGCCTGCAAGAGGGCCTGACACACCTGTAACAAAACCTCTCAAGAAGGTAAGAAGTACAGTAAATTTGTAAAGTTTATAGTTCCCCATAACCAACAAGTAGGTATGTACAGAAAATCAGATTAATTTGTTCTGCCCTTTTGATAATACTACTGAAGTATGTCTAAATTTTCATAATGTGCTAGTTACTTGCTCTTAGTCCCATGTCCAATTCATAGCTGGAGGACTACTGCTTGTTGGCAGTTTTTGACTATTTATTCAATATTATTGCAGCTACTCATCATACCTGGAGGCCTACTCCTTTATCCATAAATACTGATTTGAACATTTTGATGCTTGTATACTTGAAAGTAAGGCCTGTATTTGTATAACAGACACCCTGCAATAGTGGTATTCATCTTTTCCATCAAGAAAGCAATGATATATAATATAATAAATTATTTGCCATATCCTCATCACAAATAGCATAATGTGCATGTGTCTAGCATGGAATAACTCATCTTTATTTGTCTGTTCCTTGACCTGAGTTTCTTTGAATATTACTTTTTCCTTTATGGTGTGTATGAAACAGTTTGTAAGTGTATGAAAATTTTATTATTTAAAACAAAATGTGATTCTTTACTCAAAAGTTGCCCTGATTAAAGGTTTTTATAGTTTTACTCAGTCCCTCCAGAAAATGAGATATTTCCTTAAATATGTCAAAACTGCATTATTAAGTCATCCTACCAATTGGTAACGTGTTGAGAAAACACCATTAAATAATTCAAAAATCATAATCCACTTAACCACATGCTTTGGAGTATCAAGTCACACTCATGAAATAGGATGCTAGCCATTCTGGGCAACAAGAAGTTACACTCATGGTAACTTCCTAGGTTCTGTATTTCAATTTATCATCAATAGATGGCTTGAAAGTCTCAATCCTTGAACTGTCAAGTCACTGTCTTGTTGATCATCACACACAACTTATTTTGAAATAACGTGCCTGTCTTCTTAATTGTTGCACATGTAGTCTGAAGTAAGTTAACCTTCTACTAGACTACATAGAGCAACAACCCAGAAGACAGCTGTCATCATACTCACCACCACGAGGTCCTGAAATCTCACATTCTTATGAAATTCAATACATTTTAATGTGCTGACTCAACAGCTACAGGAGTCAGTAGTTTGATACATAATTGAGCTGTGTTACAGATGTGGCAGGGGGCCCCTGGCTGCTGCCATCGCAGAATATTTACACTGAAATTTAAACAGCTGTTCCATGGACAGTAGTGTGCTGTTCCAATGTCAACATGAGAGGCTAAAACAAATCCTCTTTTTTAAAATTACAGAAAATAGATGTGTGCTGTTGTGCATTTTTGGATGCATAGGAGCACAGATGCATTTTGTTTGACTTTTGGCTGGAATATTTCAATATTTTTAGATTAAAATTAGAATTTTAAGATGTTTCATAAAAATATAGAATTTGAGGATATGGACTGGATTCTTCTGGTTCAGGTTAGGTTGCATTGGTAGGCTTTTGTGAACACAATAATATACCTCTTGTTCCCATAAAAGGTGAGTGATTTGTTGCATGCAATAGGAGATGTTTTCTGTCGTGTTTCAGGAAGAAGCAAGAGCTATGTATTTGATGGAGAAATATGGTCATCGCTGGCGTCAAAAGAGCCTATGTGGCATTATACCTTTAAAATTGACTGATGCAGCCTGGTTAAAGCAGGTGCTTTTCAACCCAAGCTCTCGTCTTGCACGTCAAGTGGCTTGTAACATGTTGGAAAGTTTGTGCCAAGTTCCTGTTCGCAAAAGAGAGGTAAATAAATGTTATGATGGCTGTAATTCTTTTTATACTAGGTATACTTGTTTTCCATCTAGTGGAGGTTAAGAATACCTGGAGCTTTACTTCCTCTCCCCTATACCTCTTCATGATATGGTCTTTAAACACAGGAGAACTGTACATTTATTTTAGGTCTTCTGGCATTGTTTCTATTTTATATGGGTCAGTGAATGAAGTGTCTCCAGTATCTTCTCTCCTCCCAGAGTCTTGTGTTTTTGATTTCTTGCCAGCCTTTTGTGCCTTGTGTATATGCTTCTAGTACCTGGCTCAGCCATCTTGTTCTGGATCACCCTATGAGCCTAATTATTTTAAATTTTAATTTTGATGCCTGTCTTGATATCCCTGTTCTGTACATTTTTCTTACATGGCCAGACTATTCTAGTAATTTTTGTTTCAATTCTCTTGGTGAATTTTTGATTCCAGCTTCACCAAAGATTTCATCCCCCCCCCCCCCTCTCTCAGCATCTATTGTATGCCATCATCAGATCTTTTTATGCTTAACATAGATATTGAGAAGTGTACTGCGAATGTAACTTAACATCATTACATAAAATATATATAAAAATGCTAAAGTTCTGTTAGTGTTTAAAATTATGTTGTTGATAAGTTGCTAATAGGCAGTGTGTGTATATGTTCTTAATAAATGTAACCTAGACATCTTCAAATTCTTACCAGTTTTCTGTTTGTAATGAGATTGGACTCTTGTTGTGATTGTGCTCTGCTACTAGTATTGAATTTTGGTAATGTGCTCTATATAAATAGAGTGCTCTTATAATTTTCCTAAAGTGGCTTCATATTATGGTGGTGTGTGTGTTGACTAAGTGCATGTTGTGGTTATATTTTGAAATAAATTTGCTTCAACACACACATTAGTAATGAGTAGAATTTTATTTTTTTATCATTTTATTTCATTTCAGAACACAACTATAATTTGCATTTAGTCATTGTTGGTCTACTAATGAAATGCAGTGTACCTCACAAGCTGGCATTCCAGGCTCTTGTGCAGGGGTCATACAGTCATATCCCACTCTGGACACATTTTTCATATTACTGCTTGCAATTGCAAACATGTTTTTAAGGATTTTTTTTAGTTATATTGTGTTAACAATTTTGTCTTGCATTGTGTACATTTACATTAATTTTAGGTGCTGGACCTTCTGACTGGTTTCTTGGGAGAACTGGGAAGTGCAGGAGAGAGTGCAGCTGAGTTCCTGTCTCTATACCAAAGTCTGGTGCAGCCACCACCATGGAAACAGTACCTAGCAGTACGTGGAGTACTGCTACACTTGGCAGAATTGGTGACTCGGGAAATACAAGAACTACATCGCTTAGAAGATACAACACTCACTTCTGACCTTGCTCAAGGTATACTCTTGTTCTTCAGGTATAATTACTGCTGTAGTCTTAATACACTGTTATTCATCAAAAGTTATTTGTGCACTGAAATGTGGGTATCGCTTTTACACACACTGTTACATATGTTTATACAAAAATTTCTTGTAATCAAGAGAATTACACACTTAGTTCAGTGTTAGTATTTAATACTTTTGAAAAACCAGACTTGCATTGCAGGATGCTATAAATATGATCATTATTTTGGATGTCCAATGTCTTTAGTTTTCCCAAACATTGTTTTTGAAACTGGATCTGGTTCTGTTAGTGGGTGGTGAGGAGGAAGGTTTGTACTTGTTGGATCCCTTGGACAGAGCTATTCTTGTTTCCTCCCTGCTACTTACATGCTTGTCTTTGCAGGATATGCACTGAAGATGTTGACTGAACTGTTAGCATCTTTCCTGGAACAAGATAGCATAAAACAGCAATATAAAGGTCGCTTAGTTGGTGCTGTCCTGAATGGTTATCTTTCTTTGCGACGTCTGGTGGTTCAGCGTACACGACTCATTGATGATACCCAGGAAAAGTTACTAGAATTGCTAGAAGAGATGACGACAGGTATGTATAGTTCATATGATATCCTATATTTGCTACAGCTAGGAGCCAGGGGTTCATCTGAGTTACAGTCAGAGGTCAGATGGACTGGTACAGTGTAAGATGGCCTGTTTTGAGCAGACTTATTCCAGAGCCATGATTAACTACAGATATAGATACATTCTAGAGGATATATGGAGATGTGGATGTATAGTGCCACACATTCAGGTGGAGGTGAGTTGTCACTCTCAGTCTCTGGCATTACTCCCAGGGAAAGCACACTTGATACACACAGGATAGGAGGCATGATAGACTTCTGCTGATCTAGATGCAGTGGTGAAGGGAAGAAATACCCGCATCTCCCAGGAATCAAACCCCATTTATCCAGTCCATGGCATATTCATTATATTGACTGAATGTTATTCATTAGTCCATTTGCTTGATTGTAATTAATTGTTTCATAATTCTGATGTCTTGAAAACAACACAGCTATTACTGTGATGTTTACAGAGATAGCACTCCCTAAGTGTTGAGGCATCCAGAATATGTCATCCTTATCATGTTTGGACATGGAGGCACTACCAGTTATAGTATATTGGTCATGAAATTGTTATGATGAGTATTCATTGAGTTTTCATTTATGGTTTAGAAGCATACCAGCTTCTTTAAGGAGTGATGAAATTGGATCAGAAGGCCAATTGTGGTAAAAGTGCTAGTGACACTCACCAGAAAAGACTTCATCGTATTAAGTCACTGTCAGTACTTGTGATTTTAATGTGACAGTACTTCTGATGGTAACATTTTTATATTGATGTGATAATGGTATTTATGTGGTTTACAGGTACAGAACAGGAGACAAAGGCATTCATGGCTATCTGCATTGAGACGGTTCAGAAGTACAGCCCTCAGGATGTACGCACTCCTGTGTTCATATTTGAAAGACTGTGTTCTATAATATACCCAGAGGAAAATGATGTGGGTGAATTCTTCCTCACTTTGGAGAAGGACCCACAGCAAGAAGACTTCTTGCAGGTATAGTTGCAGCCTCTGTTTTGTATTGGCAATGTTTCTTATGATATTGTATGTGCAAACTACTTGGACTGGGGTCCTCTGAGATGATGATAGTTGCTCAGATAGTCAAGAAATTTTCTTCTATTATGGAATGCAAAGGTTCTCTTTATCAAACCCTGTTCTGAGCTAGATAAATCTAGCCTACTTTCTAAACTACATATGTTATATAGCATCAAATGAGAGATTGTATGAATAGTGAATTTGAATGAATGTGGAAGTGGTCATGGCATATTTTAAATTCACTTGTAATCTGTAAGACTTTTATATATGAGTTGTGTGTCTTATATTCCTACTTATATCATTATGACTTCAGGGCCGTATGTTAGGAAATCCATACAGTAGTACCGAACCTGGATTAGGTCCCCTCATGCGAGATGTGAAGAATAAGATCTGTCAAGACTGTGAACTGGTGGCACTGTTGGAAGATGACAATGGCATGGAACTGCTTGTAAATAATAAAATTATCAGTCTGGACTTGCCAGTGCGAGAGGTAAGAACAGTTTGGTTTTCTTTTGAAAAAATGTTTTCTTCCAGAGAGTGAATGCATCCTGACAGGGTAGGATTTTTCTCTTTACCACAACATTGAGGCTGGTTCTGGGTTGCACCCATCCTTCTATCCAGTGGGTCCATGGTTCTCGTCTCAGGAATAAATCTGTGTTGGCATATGAAACTAACTTGCTTGTATAGTTTATCTCCCCCATACATTTGCAAGGCTTGGTGCTTAGTCAACCACCAGGGATAACTTTGTCTTTATTGAATTAGTTTTCTTGATTTTTACATTACTAATTTATTTCATATTATTAAGTCAGCATATCAAGCTTGGATGAGCCGGGATAGCTCAGTCAGTATAGTGACTAGCTACGGGCTGGACGACCGGGGTTTGATCCCCGGCGGGGGCAGAGGATTTTTCCTCTAGCCTCTGCATCCAGACCGGCTCTGGGGCCCACCCAGCCTCCTCTACAGTGG